TGTGTGTGTGTGAGATGTGTATGTGTGGTTTGTGTATACGTGTGTGTGTATGTGTATATGTGTATACCTCTGTCTATGCATGCATAGAGGCCAGAAAATGTCCTACACTGTCCTGCTTTATCATGGTTTGCCTTGTTCCTTCGACATAGGGTCTTTCAGTAAAGCTGGAGTCAGGCAAGCCTCTGTGATTGTCTTGTTTCTGCTGTTCTATTCCTGGGTTTTTATGTGGGTGTTGGGAATTCAGACTCAGACCCTCTTGCTTTTCGAGTGTGTGGTCTTACCTACTCAGCCATCTCCCTGTTTCATTGTGACTCAGTTCTGAGGAAAGGGGTTACTAGAACTAGAATGGCCCATCATTATTCACTGGTTTGATTTAACGATACATACTTTATCATCTTGGGAAGTAAATGCTAATAATGTCAACATTTCAATAGTGAGATAAGTCTTTTTATGTATACTTTTATTTATGATCAAAATTTTTGCTTTCAGACTCTATGTAGACATTATAAAATCGGGACAGAGATGTAGCTTAGTAGAAGAACGTTTGTTTGACTTTTCTTAAAAAGTGTTTTTTCTCAGTTCAGACTTGAACACACTACCAGGGTATCACCTAATGACTTCCAGAAGCATCTCAGATATTTAATTGAATTTTTATAAAACTTCGTTATTAAATGCTTGTCCAGTTCCTGATATCTATAATTATTAAATGTGTTGTTATTTTCATATGTCATCTTTAGAGTACTGGGAAAAACTGCTAAACTGTAAACCTTGGTGAGACTTGCAGATAAAGTACTGGCATTTTGGGGTTAGTTTTCTTTTATTGTTTTATATAAGAAATATAAAGACTCAGTGCGTGGGTGGCTCACCATGTCTTTCTAAACTCTCCATTCTCTAATTGCCACCCTATCCAAGAAGATTAAAGAAAACTGAAATATTACCTCAGAAGAGTCACACCGCTGGAGGGGGCTAATTAGCTATGGGAGGCAATTTGCATATTTTTTAAAGAGGGGAAACTTTTATAATTCTCAAATTATACAAAGTTGGTGTCAGTTAAACAGAGATTCAATCTGGCTGTATGTTGGGTCACTTTTGGAACTTCACAAAATTCAGGCTAGAAACTTGAGTAGTTACAAAATCTGTGTATTTGAAGAGTTTGAAGGTAGGAAAGAGTGCTACTAGTAACTTCTAATATTCAACCAGACGGAGGAACTGAGTTAGAAGAGGTAATTGAAGATTTTGATTAGTCTTGTCTTGGGGCAGGAACAGATGGAGAAAGTGCCATTTTTAATAGAGGGTGTTCACATATGGTCCACTGTGTGGTCTACAAACGGTGGGAGCTGTGTTACAGGAGCAGGCTGCACAAAGAGCACCACCGTTTGCCACTGTTTCTTGGCCTCAAATCCAGATCATCGTAACTTAGGTTTTGCTCTCATGATCTTTAATGGGTAGGGATGGGAATTTTAATTTCTTTTATTATTAATATATGTTAATGTATTTTTGTATCTTATTTGTTTTATAAGGTGAGGACACTTTTTATTCTAAAATGTTTTCAAGTTTAAAGGGTTCAAGAACCTCACAGATAACTCCCATGCTTTTGCCTGGTTTCACAGATCCATGACATGATAATTTTTTGCTTCATTTACTTTATTATTCCCATATGAGTCCTTCACTTCCCATCCACATAACTGTGTGTTAAGTGGGTGATGAATTAGGTGTATGCATTTATATTGTTACATAGTACTCTAATACCAAGAATTTCTTTTCTGAGAAAATGCTAATACAATGGTTAGTACTTTGGTTAGTAAAGTAGTCAAGGCTTGAGTAATTATTACCTGATGAGAAAAGGACAGTAAGTTCCTGTGAGCACTGAAGTCATTATTAACACTTTGCTAACAGTCATGAGAATTTAGATGGACACAGTTTTAGACAAATACAATGTATTAAACTGATACAGAATAGAGCTTATGAACACTCATAATTTAAAACAACAACTCTACTCATGAACTCTAAAACTTACATAAATGATAACAGTCCTGTACAATTTTCTGGAAAGTAGAAAGTAATTTTCTCATCTTTAAATAATTTAACTATTCATTATAAATATGACAGGACTTAATGGGAATATAAAATTTTGTTTAAAATTATCAGACACAATTATAATTTGGCAAGGAGAAAATACTTTAATCATCCTATGTTTATATGTATGCATATAAGACTAGAGCTTATAAATACACTTAACAAAATTACTGTAAGATCTACATAAAAATAATTTTTCACTGAAATAGAAAATAAAGTTAGAGTATCAACTGATAGTATTACCAATGAACAACTGGAAACAAACTGTGAAATGATGCTGTGCTAGATGCTATAAACCACTGTTAGGAATAGTTAAGGAAGATATCAGGAGATTCGGGACTGACTCATGATCATTGAAAGACTTGGTTTTTTTTTTTGGTTTTTCGAGACAGGGTTTCTCTGTGTAGCTTTGCGCCTGTCCTGGAACTCACTTGGTAGCCCAGGCTGGCCTCGAACTCACAGAGATCCGCCTGGCTCTGCCTCCCGAGTGCTGGGATTAAAGGCGTGCGCCACCACCGCCCGGCAAGACTTGGTATTTTAATGTTGTTCTTTAAAAACTCTGCATTACTGAAACTGATTGGAAAATTTACATGGCATTGAAAGATTCCTAAGTAAAAGTTCTATATTTAAAATATCTGAAGTACTGTCTAAGATGAATAGCAAATATAATTAAAGTTTATTTTTTAGTAGACTTTTGTTTTAAAGAGGTCGAAGACTGCTGGCTTTAGTTTTGTTACTAGTAATTTACCTGAGCAGAGGGGTATGCTTGCATAGGAATATATAATAAAACAAAGAAGGAACAATTTATATGTTACTTGTTACTTTTTTACTTGAAACAATTCTTAATTATCTGTAGTTTATCAATGCCAAAAATGATTGTAGTGCCGACACACTGATTGTTGAATTGGCAGGTCACTTTGTAGTCATACATTCAACTTTTTGGGCATTAGAAACATTTAGAAATGTTTCTAGGCATTTTCAAGGATGATGGAGAGCCATGTTTCCTTCTAAGTATTTAAGTTTATGTATATCGATTGTGTTGACTTCATTTCAAAAGACTCTGGTTGGAGGATGGTTACCTTATCAGCAGAGTCTTTTGGGAGGGATCGCATGACCTTGGTCTCACTGGATATCCTGCCTTAGCCTTTCCTGCTAAACACCTCCTAGTAATTTTGCTGCCTATTGATCACATTATGCTTATGGGTCCTTTTCTTACCTCAACCTATTTTATCTTATTTGCATTTTTGTTTCTGTGAATTTCTACAAATTCCTTGCTTCCACTCCTAAGCAAAACCTCCTCACCTTTCCAGGGTAAATTCTAATCTCATTTAATTGTACAGAATCATCTTTTTTGTCAGCAGTCTGTGTTTCATAACTGGGTGATGTTCCACAACACTTACAGGCTGGCTCCTTTATCTCCATTCTTCATCAGACTGGATTTTATAAGGGTTGTGTATCTACAGACTTTTGGGAATTATAGATCCTTAGCAAGTAAGCAAACAGATCCCCGAGAGATGAGGTGATGTAAAGGTAGTCTAGCTTGGTATGGCAGTTCCAAATTCACAAGAGGGATTCTCTCAATCTCATTTCATTGGAATTCCTTTGTTTACATATGCTTAGTTTTCTTAACTGAAGGGTCTGAGCAAACAGTGTGTGAACAGCTTTTTATAGCAACTATTACAAGTGTGGTATCACTCTAGGAAGGCGTGGTCTTTATGAAGACCTGTATTTACGTATGGCGGAGTGAAAGCAGGAATTGTAACTTAGATAATAATACATGCTCACACTGAGGCATTACCTGGGTAGTGACAATGGAGGAATATGGGATGTTTGAAGGCTCACTAAGTGTTCCATGCCTTTCCCTCTAAGGTAGCTCTGGGTCTGTAAATGTAATAGTTTGGATTTGTATCCCTTTTCTACTACTAAGAACCCTGGGATCTTATGAACGTCAGTCCCCTTCTCTGCAATGAGGGCTTCTGACTTCACGATACATATTCATAATATTTCTTTCCTCTATGGTCGCCATGTTCTCTACATTACTAGAGCTTTGTGAACAAACAGGATTCTTGATAAAATGGGAATTAGTAACAAGAGTATTATTAGCTGGTGATCTTATTTTAACTGTCCTTTCTAGCTTTGCTTGAAAAGATTATTAATTGATTAGTTTATGTAGAAGACTTATTACATAAGCCACCATGTATGATGCAGCAAGGTCAAATGCTGACCCATCCAGTTTTGCTTGGGAAATACTATTTCAAATTAGGGTTTTGTCTTAGTTCTTGACAGCTGGAGTGATGTCCTCAGCACCTCAGATTGCTGCAGAGCAGGATTGCATATCTTTTAGGAGAATGCACAGAGAGTTCAGAGGTGAATGCCACCGTGTCACCCGGTTTATATTTTAACTTTTAAGCTATCTCAACCTAACAAGTTGGAGGAAAATTCAACTATTTTCATTTGTTGTGGTAAGAATCCGAACAGTACCTGAGCTGTATTGCATTGACAGTATAGATGCATGCCAAGGAAAGTCTGGGCATGACTTAAAGGAAACAACTCCCTATAAGGGGGAATATCTGAGAATCTGGGAGACTCCTTATGAGCAAGGGAGGATGGCAGTGGTCACATAAATGTCACTTCTGGTTACTCCCTGTAAAATGTAAAGCAAGATCTCCCACTTCTCACGTGTGCTTAATGGATGTCTACTACACAGTGTTTAATGTCTGGATGCATTGGCCTGCCTGGTATAGGGCATTAAGGATGTTTTAGCACATAGCTCGGGTTACTTTCCCTGGCCTGGAGCTAGACTCTCCCTCATCTTACTCAAGGTTGATGAAAGTCAAGCGAGCACAAGTTTTTGAATAATAAGGCTTTGTTCTATGCTTTCTTTGAATGGTAAAGTTTAAACATTTTTCTATTTTTAATTTCAGAGAAAATTTCACAAGAGATTTGTGTGGTTGTGAACACAAAAGATGAAGAATCTGTAGGGCATCTTCTCAAGGAAGTGCTAAAAAATGAATTAAATGTAAGTATTCAAGGACTGAGTAGGATTAGCTCTCATAAATTTTTGTGGTATAAAAGTATCTTCCTTGACAAAGCTCACAAATCTTTCAAACATAATGTTGCTATTCCTCTTTCCCTAAGATCCTTCATCCTCTTGATACTGTAATTGAAGCATCTCCATCCTGTCCATTCTTCTAGGCCAGTGGTTCTCAACCTTCCTAATGTTGTGACCCTTTAATATAGATCCTCATGTTGTGGTGACCCTCCAACCATAAAATTATTTCGTTGTTACTTCATACTTGTAATTTTGCTACTGTCAAGAATCGTAATGTAAATATCTGATATGCAGAATATCTGATATGTGATCCTTGTGAAGGGTCATTGGACCCCAAAGGGGTGGGGACCCACAGGTTGAGAACCATGGGCCCAACTGTTTTGTTAAAGATTAGTTCATAGTGGCTACTTCTGGTGGGTATTCTAAGGTACATAAAGTGCTTTTTTATTTTGTAATTTTAACCCTTTTTATTTAATAATTCTTGTGTTATCCATATTCTTAGTATTTTCTGTTACTTTAATTTTCCTCTTCAGAGGTTACTCCATTTTAGATGGATGTGCATGATTAATTATTACTTTCTCTTTGGTTTTATTTGTTTAGAATCTTCTCACTTTCCACTTTGTATTTCTTTCCAAGCGTGAGAAAAATCTGTTAATTTGCTACTTTACTCTTCATTTCTACAATGAGTGGATATTTTCCCTGTTGTTTCTAAGTATTCCAAGGCGGATTGTTTATTATTTCATTTAGTGTATTAAATGCTAGGTTATTTTGGATCTGTTTTGTAGATAGGTCTTCCCAGTGTACATCTCTACTTATGGGAACATCATTTTGCTTTTTATTCCTTCATTTCTTATACTTCTTTGAGATCCTATGGTATTCAGGACAGATAATTTTATCTACTTTTAAGAGAAGTTCAGGCTTGTCGGATGGTTTCTAGATTAATGGCATAATGCTCCTTCGAGAGCTGTTTTCAGGATTGACACTGAAGCCATGTTCTCCCTGGGACCTCCATCCTTGCTGCCCCTCGGCTTTCTCAGGCCTCTTGTTTATTCATGGTCTAATTCTTTTTATCAGTCTGGACCTCTCTGCGGAGACTTTGCCCCACAAGAGTGTTTTAGGCTACAGTTCTGAGTGTTCTGTGCCCCAGAACCACAACCTCCCCAGCAAAGTGAGAGCTTTCACGTTTCCTCCCGTTGTCAATCTAGGTTTTTGAAAATGGAAGTTTGCATAGCCCTAAAGAATCATGGTGGATGTTAGAAGGGGCTGTCATCTCTGCTTAGCTTTCCCTGGCTTCTTGCTTTGTGAATTGTTAAAGTACAGATACTCATCAGGATGCTGTCCTCTTTAACTGTCATGACCTAACAGCTTTGTGTAGCTTTCTGTACACACAGTGCTTTTCTTTAAAATCACCCAATGATTACCCCCTTTATTTTACAATTAAAGCAATCTTCTGGCTTTTAATTTGTACAAGTTCATGTCACCAGTGTGTGAATGTAGGTGTTGGTTGATGCCAAATGCTTTTTGTTAATTAATATTTCTCAAGCACAGATGAAAGAAAAAAACAATATGAAATTTTAAAGTTTGACAGGATTATAGTTAAGTCTGGAAGAAGTAGCTCCCTTGGAAAGGGATTAATTTGGTTTTATGTAGATTTATCTTCCATTATGAAAGCAGATTTATCTTGTGGCATTGTGTTTTTCAGCCCATACTTTACAGAAAAAGCACAAAATGGTGACTATTATAACTTTCTACACCGCGAGCTTTTATCTGTCTTTGAAAAGAGCATATAAAAATGATGACGTCGTCACACTGCTGAAGTCTGCAGGGCAGATCAGTGTGGGCGTGGAGCTGTGCCCCACACAATGGGGGATTGTTTTATTGATGTGAATAGGAGAAATGTTTCCCATTGAAACTGAAGGAAGAGATTGGGTATGTTTATGCTAATTGCCTGGGAAGAATTTTGCAACATACATTTGGGATGACCCAAATGTCTAACTGAAACATAATGGAAAACACCAAATTCGTGTATGAAGTGGCTGGAAGTTAAATGGAGAAGCCTACTTGTTAAGAGACACCTTTCCTAGCCCACATACATAGGATGCACATGTGACTGGAATTACAATTGTAGGACTTCAGTATTAATCTCGCTGTCATCATTTGATTTATTTTTTCTGGGCCTTGAATTTCAGAGAAATAGCTCTTCAGAGGTACTTCTGGGAGGTAGATGCAGATGAGTGGGGCCTGTTTGGGTTTAAATGCGAAAGGCCCCCCACTTGATTGATATATTTGAACACTTGGTACCCCGTTGGCAGTCTGTGGAACCTCTAAGAGGTGAGGTCTGGTAGCAGGTAGGCCACTGACCGCAGGCTTGAGAGCTATAGTCTGGCCGCATCTGGTCTAAGCTGTTTTCTGATTTGTAGAGCTGTAACCAGCTCAAGTTCCTGCTACTCCAAGCAGGAGCTGTCCTACACTCACCATGCCTTCGGCACTGATAAGCTGTAACCGCTCAGATAGGGGGACAAGCCCAGTCCGTCCTTTTCCAGGTTGTTTATGCCAGGGATTCTGTCGCAACAACAAGAAAAGTAACACTGAGGTGTGGGGTTGTTGCTGTGATGGTAGCTACACTATGTAGCTTGTAGGCTTTTGCAGCTGGATTTCAGGGGGAATGTGAAAGGAGGAATCTGTGGCCTAGTGAAACACTAGAATTTTGTAAACAGCTTAAAGGCATTTTTTTTCCCCCTGGGTGTGCAGGGGAATGAAGGTAAAAGCATGGACAGTAAAAACTGTTCAAATGTTTTAGAAGGGACACACATGTTCTACTGAGAATTTTGCTAGAAGCCACTTGGTGGAATACAGAAATAATAGGATTGTACTGGTTGGTTTTGTGTGTCAACTTGACATAAACTAGAGTCATCAGAGAGGAAGGAGCCTCAGTTGAGAAAATGCCTCCACGAGATTCAACTGTAAGGCATTTTCTCAATTAGCGTTCAATGGGGAAGGGCCCAGACCATGGTGGGTGGCGCCATCCCTGGGCTGCTGGTCCTGGGTTCTATAAGAAGGTGGGATGAACAAGCCATGGGAAGCAAGCCAGTAAGCAGCTCCCCTCCATAGCCTCTGCATCAGCTCCTGCCTCCAGGATCCTGCCCTGTTTGAATCCCTGTCCTGACTTCCTGCAGTGAGGAACAGCAATGCTGAAGTGTGAGCTAAATAAACCCCTTCCTCTCCACCTTGCCTGTTGGTCATGGTGTTTCATTGCAGCAATGGAAATCCTGACTAAGACAGGGTTAGTTCGGTAAAGAAAATTTCAAGACAATGTAGCATTCAGTCTGTAGCACTGTCTATTGCTTTATAGTGAGAGATTTATAGTGAGAGATAATAGAAAGTAGAGCAGAAAGATGTGAAAAACATGTATGCTAGCAAGGAAAGGGGCACGTGCACAGAATAGCTGTGGACAAAGGGTGGTTCTACTTAAGAAGATTGGCATAAAGAGAAACTGGGCACTGTGCTCTGCAGTGGTGACGTGAATGGTGCCTGAGGAAGGAAGTAGTCTCTTTCTCTGCCACCTTGACACAGAAGGTTATAGTTACGAAAGAAAGTGGTCTCTCTTGTAGTTCATCTACATGTTGAGCTTGCAGCAGAACTTGGCATTGCCCACAGGGTACTTCTTTCACTAGCATGCACAATGCATGGAGGGAGGCTTGCACCAAGGCTTTAGAGAGCTCCTGTGGTGGTTTGTAGCCGAGGCAGGCTGCCTGCAATGAGCTGCTTGGTGGGCCAGACATGAAAGTGTGAAGTTGAAGGCAAAGGTGCAGTGAAGACACCATGTTGTTGTAGGTGCCAAGATTATTGAGGAACTGCTGCAGTGCATGGAGACAGCTCAAGAGAGTGTGTGCAGGGTGCTGGCCCCAGGGTGGGAGGGGCGGGGCTCCCCATGCTCACTGTACGCAGATGACTCCACCATGAACTTTGATGTCAGACATGCTGCTGTAGGCTTGCTGTTTGCCCTCCTGAGTTTTGGCCTTGCTTTGGTCTGACCATTCCCTGCTATGCCCCCATCATTCCCTGTAGGAACGGGTGTTTTCTTTGTACCATTGTAGGTTGGAAGTGTGTTACCTCTTTGATTTTATAAGGGCTCACATTTCAGAATTTGTCTTGAGTCTCCAAAGAGATTTTGGACTTTTGAAACTGTTGAGGACTTTGCAGTTGTACTGAATGCATTTGTTAGTAATGAGATGGCCATGAACCTTGTGGGGACAGAGGTGGAATATTCTGATTTGAATGATTTATGTTCCCTACAGTCTCATGTCTTTGAATACTTGCTCTCTATCTTCTATCACTGTTTGAGAATCTAGTGGAAGTAGGTGAGTGATTGGTGGGATTTGAGAGGTTTTGCTTAGTGCCATTTCTGGCTTCTTGGCTGCTGAGACTGTTTAAGCAACAGCCACCTGCTTTGCCATCGTGTTCCCCACGTCATTGGCAGTGTGCCCTGACGTGAGCCAGAACAAACCCTGCTCCCTTAAGGTTTTCTCTCAGGTAGCGTTTCATAGTCAGAAGAAAATTTACTAATACCAGTCCTCAGTCACTTCTTTCTAACTCTCAGAAAATGTTGAAAATATTTATACTGTTCTAAAAGTAGTGAGTGATGGGTAAGTAGGAGATGTGATTAGCCTTTCGTTAATTACTTAATTCATTGACCCCCAAGACAGTCGATGCCCACGATAACTCCACCATTGGCTGTAGTGACTTGAGCTAAGCAGGTGTGACTCTTAAGGAGTTTTCCGTCATAGTGGATAACAATACAGTACATAATAGGGAATACAAACCGTAAGGGATGCAGCTGTGTCCTGAATGGGTTGGCTCTGGAAATCAGTATGGGGTGATGAGGGGATAAAGAAAGAATAGACACAAGTACAGATAGTCTGGGATTGGGTGGGCTGTGCTCTCTCTGAGGGAGCAAGACCAACTAT